GTCTTTGAAGTTCCAATAATGACATATGAATTGCTTTGCCTCTGCCACAGGAGTTTAATTTTCATACTGTAAAGAGGATTCATCATAATCCGCCAATTGATTTGTTTAATAAGGTTGGTAGTTTTACATTTTTGTATTGGTGTTCAATTGTGTACATTGTTTGGTGTCTCTCTTTGGACACAATATTAATCTTTCTTGTTTTTTTTTATCAGCTATCTCTTATGTCCGAGCCCCAACAAGCTGCGGGAGTTCAATCAAAAGCACAACGACCATCCTGTCTTCCGTCAAAGGTTCCATTTATTTTTTCATTTTTCTTTCTGATCTTATTTAGTTAAGCATTGTCTAGATTTTTGATTTTGTATGGGTTTTTGTTACAAGGGTTCTAAAGAAAATAGATGGGCTTATTTCCAACAGAACCATGAGGTAAGCACTGTTTATTCCGTGGTTACTAGCTATTTCCATCTCCATCAGCTTACAAAATTCTTCTTTTTAAGATAGTACACACGGAGACCGGAAAACTAGCTGATCTCAAAAGCAAAGCCAATTTTGTTCGGTAGTGATGTGGGCTAACTGAAGTTTGTCAAGTCTCTAACACCATCAACAGGTACAAGCTTTGCTTTCTGTTTTCTTTATAATCGAGAAATCTCCGAGGGTTTAAGATGTGACATGCATCTAACCCAAACATCTCTAACACCGTGTGGTAGTTTTGCTTTTCTTCTTATATGATAAAACTCAACAGGTATATTTGAATTCTTGTAGGTGTTTGGGCTTTTTAGGAACAAAATACAGCACATTTCTGGACGTTGATGGAACACCTTTTTTGCTTGATTCAAAAGGCAGACTGAGATGATGTAGCAATGCCAATACACAACAATTGTCTGAAATTGTCAAGTGCATTCGAATATATAGAAGTTTTATAACTTTATGTAAAAATCATTTTCTACAGATGTAAACCATCAGATACGAACAACAATGTTAAACCCAATGTGAATAAAAATGAGCAAGTTTTTGTTTTAGCTGGAACTGTTCATCTTTATTCTACTTTGATTTTGCCTTATATGTGACTGATTCTTTATGACATAGAATGCTTGAGAGATTAATGTATCAAATGTGAAAAAATTACAAATTTAATTGAATCCTCTTGGCTAATTTCATAGTTCGGACAGTTAGTCTCGATTACATTCTTACTATAATGCCTTCAGGACTAATTGCTTGATACCCTTATATATTGCTGCTAACTTCCATATTATACAATTATGCAGCGTAATTATTATTGAATTACAATCATTTCTCCTCCTCAGAGGCGCACTCTTTGTCTCCTGAGTTATGTTTCCCTATTGACGTGACAAATGAAAGAGGTGAATGTTTTGTCCAACGCTTCATCAAAGGCTTCTTATCCTTGCTGTATCTTTTCTTTGTTATGGCAATGGCGAGATCATTGGGAAACAAGGTTTTCCAGACAAAAGCATGCAGAAGGGTTGAGACGAATAATATGCAGACCATTGTTGTTGACATGAACGATAGGGCCAAAGCCAAAGCCTTGGTAATGAAAGATGGAACCTCCTCTGCATACTTTATGGTTGCTATTGAAACTGTGGTCATTGGAAAAGTATATGACCACCATGCAACTGAAAATCTGCAGATAGTCAAGATATTAGATCAAAGTTTTCATCAAAATTTTGAACTCTTGTGCTGTTATCGTATTTCATGGACGAGAAAGTTACCTGAATCCTGTGAAGAAGTTGGGACGTACAACCAATGATAAGTAGAGAAATAGTGATATGAAGTAGCAGGTTCTTGCCAAGCCATCAAATTCATCATATATAGCCCCCCAAGCAAGGCTAGCTGCAGCTGGAGTGGCAATGAACATGGAATAAACAGGGTGGAGTTCCTTAGGCAACGCTTCACTCGTTGGCAACCTTTGATATAATGTGACAAACACCACAAGGTAATGTGCAAAGCCAATGGACCATAAGAACTTTCCAGGCTCCTTCCATCCCACTTTAGCAGCCAAAATAGCTCCCACGAAATTCCCAATTACAGAGAGGTGAGATGAGGGGTTGGCTACTTTACAGAGACGTCGTTTCCCTCCTGAAAGCCATTGGCCATAAATTTTGAGATTGAGGAAGAAGATCGGGGCCATGAAGACACACCAGATGGCAGGGTGAAGTGTTCCTGGCGCTGTTTTAGGAGGTGCACCTATAGCTAAAAACATGCATACAATCCATGGAGCACAAAAGAAGTTGACTCTCACTGGGTGAAAGTATTCTCTCTTTATCGCTTCAAAGTAAAGAGCACATTTGAATATATAGGTGATGAAGACTGCAACGAGAACCCCCACTGCTAACAGCCAAACCGCGAAGTTAATGAAAAGTGGAACATGAAGGAATTTGGTGACAGGACTCAGAGCAAGTGAACGCCAGAGGATGGCTTGACTACTAAGGCCTAGGCATATACCGAAGCAACCAATCGGGAACCTGAGTAGAAAAGGCCATTTTTCATCTTTTGGAAGAAGAATGTCCTCAGAATCCTGCAGAAAAGATTGTTACCAACACTTGAGTTTAGCAACATCTATGCACCGACAGCACAAAAGATTAAATAGACATTTTGTTATATCTTAAAGTTCAAGACCACAAATACAAAAGTTTCTTTTACTTTCTGAAACACACTTGTCAAGTCAAAACCAGACAAACAAATTGAAACTGAAGGAGTACGGATAATTACCTTGACTTGATCAAGTTCAGGTCCTGTAAGAGCATCAAAGTATCTTCCAGCAGGTACACTTTTCTTGACATGATCATTAAGTCCTTCCTTAACATTATTGTTCTGAAGTTCAATTCCACTTTCTTTTCTAAGTGGTATCTTTGAAGATTGCCTAGCAATAGTTGATTTAGTCCTAAACATGTTGAAATCTCCTTTATTTCTTGCTTCAATACCATTTGTTCCATTAACACCAAATCCTCCAAAACTATTTCCACTTCTTCCGAGTATTTTTCGTTCATTTTTATCTTTAGATGTCTCTCCATTGAGTACAGAGAACCCTGTCTCTAGTGACACTTGCCTGCTGAACTTCCTAGGAGGCCTTTTTATTTCTCTATTTTTCATAGGCCTGTTGAATCGCGTGTCTGGTTTATCAGCATTCATCGTAATGTTACTGTTTTCTTCCTTGTGATCTTCTTCCTCTTCATGCAAGACTTCATTGATATCAACTAAATGGTTGTTTCCTACATTCATTTTGCACCCCTTCTATTGTTCGCGATAAGTGGACGAAATGTAATTATTCACTATAATAAACTTGCATTTTTATTGATTGTCAAACATGAGATGTATCACGAGAAATGTGAAAAAATGAACTTTGTTGGTGGTAATTATCAACTTGGTTCTTTGATGGGGTTTCTCGTGAGGAAGACTTTAACATAAGTAATTTGTGGTGTTTAGAGAGAACACACTATTAGATTGAGGTATTCAAGTTGAATATGTTTGTAATTTTATGGTTTTTGTCTTTATGATGATTTCTGTTTGAGAGGCACATTTTCTTGCATTTCACGGGTCTAAAGACCAAAATTAGTGGCATTGGTTGTGAACATTTACCTCATAACTAGGGTGGTCTAGGGTTAGTATAAATAGTGTCATTTGGCCATAATGATCTTATGTTCATATATACAATAATAGAGTTCATATTTAAATATTTATAGATATTTAGTAGATTCCTTATACATATATGTAGTTTGAATTATAATTAGTGAATCCATAGACGACACACTAGATCAGCCTCTGACCTCTGTAGTTAGATCCACGGTAGAGCTAAAAGTTATAATAAGGGAATTCAACATACTGCAACAATTCGACTTATATATTGTACTAAAATTATACTTGCACTACTTTGAATTTTATGAAATTTTGTGAGACTATTTATCAAATGTTTGTGTGATTTACTTTTGAAGTGTTGGATATATTTCAATTAGCAGCCCTAATAGTGTAGGTTACCCTTGCCACTTCTACTACAACTATTTTTTTCAGCCTTAAAGTTAGAAAGTAGCCAATGTTGTCGATTTCAACTTTTTACTAGTGCGATGACATGACAAATATGAAATTTTATTTGTTGAAACTTTAGAATAATGACATTACCAAAATAGCTATTTGTAGTCTTATGGGCCAAAAGAAATATTCTTGTGATATGGGCCTTCCAGACAATCAATCCAAAAACATGCATTCTATTAAAAGAAAATTTCGCAAATAGCCACTATAAATAATTTAATTAGGCCTCATAGCTATAGTTTGCTAATTATAATTCGTAGCTACATGTTAGAGGGAAGAGAGAGGTGAGTCAGATTAGGAGAGGGAGGAAAGAGGCGAGCGAGAGAGGGAGGAGAGTGGAGAGAGGTGAACTGTATTTGTATATCTGTCGAATGGTATATGTTAGGTATCAAATAACTGTATCTATGTAATTGATATACATATGCATTTGTATATTTGGCGAGCGAGATTGGGAAAGGGAGCGAGAGAGGGATGAGAGTGGAAAGAGACGCATTGTATTTATATATCTTTCATATAATTGTATATTTTTACATGTATAAGAGAGGAGAGAGGAGAGAGACTCACATAATTATAGCTAAATAGAAGTTGCGAGTGGTAATCAATTCAAACTATAGCTATATTAGCTAATTAACCCGTATATGTTTAGTTATTCGCATAATTTCCCCTTCTATTAACAAGGCCTAGTCTAACGAATCGAGTTCAACTCATATCAGTTACTTAATAACGAAAATGTGGCGAAATAATCATGTCAAACCGTATTTTCTTAATGATAAAAAAACTTTTTACAAAAATAGTCTACCTTTTAACACTTACTTTTACTTCTCAATCTGCCTTTGAAAAGGTAAAATTATTCTCTCCATTACTATTATTATTTTACTGATAAAAGTAATATTATTTTCTCTCCTTAATTTTATAAAATAAATAAGTAATATATAATTATTTTTTTTTCATTAATTATAAAGACCAAGTAAAATAAAATCGAAGAATATAAAAAATTTCCACTTGGATGGGCAAAAGATTAGATGTTAATATAATTAAGCATTGTGACATTCGGCAAGAATAAAATTTGGATAAAATAAAAAGTCACTATAGACACATAAGTTTTTTTCTACAATTCCAAAAGTAACATATCAAATATCATATATTAAAAAAAAAAATCATATATTAAATTTAATTCAAACTTTGTTATTTTCTCAAAAAAAAAAAAATGCCGCTATTAGCCGGCTACTCTTCTTAATCTTCAAAAATTAACAACCTATAAATACATCCCCTAACAATCAATAATTTCAAATCATATAAAAACACCTTATTATAACTACTTATTTTTCAAAAAAAAAAAAATTTAAAAAAATCTCAATGGCATCGACATCTGTTATGATTGCAGTTATTGTTGTTGTTGTTGCCACTCCAGCAATGGCAACTGATCATTGGGTTGGTGATGATCAAGGTTGGAAACTCGATTTTAATTACACAGCTTGGGCTGCTACGAAACAGTTCCACGTTGGAGATAAGCTCAGTATGTACATAAATTTATCATATCTCGTACTATTTTAAGTTTGTGTAATCGTTGTCATTAAAACATATTTTCAATACGTGTCCCTAAAGCTAAGCCTGATTTATTTTGTGATTGCAGTATTCAAGTACAAGAAAGACGTTCACAACGTGTACAAAGCAGATCATGAAGCATTCAAAAGCTGTACACCAAGTAGCGATGTTACGCCATTAACATCTGGAAATGATGAGATTTCCCTGGCTTCGCCAGGGAAAAAATGGTACATTTGTGGTGTAGGTAAACATTGTGAAAAGGGAATGAAACTTGCTATTAATGTTTGGCCAGCAGAATCAGTATCCCCTGCTCCGTCACCAAGTAGCCCTGGTTCTTCTTCTTCTTCTTCATTTGCATCTTCAATTTCTCCCGATTCAAAATTTGTTGCTTTGCTTGTTGCTGCATTTGCAATGATCGTCATGATCATGACTTGACGATGAAATTAGTTCGTATGGAGGGGTGAGCTGATGATCATTTATCAATTTGTTGTTGTTATTTGTTTTCACATTTTGAATAATTGTAAGATAGTTGAGGCAATCAGGACTCAGGAGTAGTGTCTGAGGCTCCTGGATTTTATGTTAATTTCTTTTACTTTGTTTGTTTTATTGAAGATTTGAATATGTTTGTATCCTACCTGATTTGATATATTATTTATTCTACGATTCTCTCATAACTTATAGTTATGCGGATTTCTAATTGCAGATCAAACACATGACTCAAAACAACCTTTTTTTTCTCTCATCAGCATTTATATGTATTTAATACATTCATATATATGGCCCCTCCCTCTATCTCTTCAAGTGGATGAAGTTTCTTAGACATTAATGTGATGTTTGAAATAGGATATTTCCTACAATTGCAACATCTTGTCCAAGTTGATTGCATTTATCTGTTGCTGCTGCATTGTCCATGTTCTCTTAAATCTTGCCTTTTAGTGTGTGGAGGCCCACTTTTATTCTTTTTTATTTGTAATATATTTACTTTTTCGAGTATTCTAGATATCTATCGGTCTGACTAATTTAAATTTACGTCCACCAAGCTCATTGAAAAGGAAGTGCTCCAACAACTTTTATATTCTCAAAGATTTGCATTTGAAAATTTTGATTAACAGCGAGAGGATTTTATTCATTCCATCATAAGTCAATAGCTTTTGGTAAACCCTTTGTGTAAATATTCCATCAAATATGATAAATATTTTACAAAGGAATCTAATTATTATAGTAGTCATTGTCTCACTTAGTTGAATCATTGTAGTTCTAACATGCTTTTGATCTTTAATTTGTCCTCTAGCGATCGAACTTATACACAATGTATCCGAACATAACTTATAAATATTATAATACGAAAACAGAAATTTATAGGAAAAAAAAAAAGAAGTTAATTAGTATGGAGGATACTAAAGACATACACAAAGTAGAGGGTTAAAAGAGGCTATCATAAACACCAAAAAAAGGTTTGAGAAAAAAGAATATTAGAGAAAGTTGAAAGTTACACCTTTAACATTTTATTATAAATTAGTAATCAATATAAAATTTAAAATTATATTAAATAAATAATGCTAGTGGGTGGAGAATTTTAATCATTTTATGCTTTTATCTATTTGGTTGAGAGACAACTTCTTTTAAGTCATCCTAAAAGTAACATGCCTAACATGCTTATAAAGAAAAACAACCAATATTTAGCTTTATGTAGCTAACTAACTCTATATGTTTCACACAAAGAGTAAAGCAAAAGCAAAATAACACATCTCATCTACATGTTTCCATAAATAGTAGTTTTCCTCTACTATTCTCTACACAAATCGTTCACTCGATACAGAAACTTACCTATCGTTGTAGGTCAACTTAACGTATAAAGTTCTTTAGACTGTTAGTGCAACAGTGCAAAAATCCCTTGCCAATGGCTCTCCTATATCGAAAGTTCTTACATATACTTTCAAAGTAGTTCTTCTAAGAACCTTGATATGAAGCTTAATAACAGTAGATTTATGTCAGATTAGACTAATGTATATGCTCCATCAGGGTATGGAGTTAAGTGAGGGCGGAGATGATCCTCCTTCACCGGAAAGTAGAAGGTACACTATCTATCAACATTCTTGAAGTTAAAGCTTAAAAGCAGTAGGTACATTTCCTATCAAGTCCCTTATGTGAGGTTTAGAAGCTACAGACATGCTGCAAATGGTTGAAAACTTGAAGTCATTCTATCTATATGGGAATTAGGTGGGGCAACGAAAGAAACTTGGCAATAACGACAGCAACTTGAGAACTAAGATCCACTTAAGAGACTTGCCAAATAATACAAACAATCAATGCAACTCATGACTATTTTGCACCACAATTTTCCATGTAGTCGTTTTCTAAAACAATCAGGGACCTCAATAGATACAACATTTCAATGTTTCTTGGCTGGCAGATCAACTATTCAAAAGTAAAAAGACCTTGCATCATCTTGATTATTGAAATATTTGCTATACATCTGATTGATTACTTACGTCTTTACAGGAGCCCCAGATCGCCAACTTTTTATAACAAGGATCGACACTAAAAATGTTATCTCGAGAATTAACTAAAACATAGAAGAGTAGGAAAGTAAACTTGAGTTTGGACAAAATATATTGGGAGGACAATTCTCCCACAAGAATATTACACATAGAGAACAATATCTAAAGAATCAGTCTTTCTTTGTTGTAGTTGCATCAAAGGAGTATAAAATTACAGAAAGGGGAAAAGTAAAAGAGACAACTTTATTCTCTTCAAACCAACCCCAATCAAGAACAATTATATAGAGGAAAAAAAGCATAGCACATAAACCTTTTTCCACTTTACCCCATCTTTGTTCCTATACAGTGGAATATAATCCAACCACTTAATCTTCCCCCACCCCATCCAGAATGAATACTAATTAGACCAAAAACAAAAAAAAAATTGTACCTTTGTGTGGCATCATCAAGATTGAATCTTTCAAACTATCATCAGTGTGCTGTTACTTTAGATCTCTTCTTTGCCTCACTGTAAAGCACCACACCCATTACAGTCACAGCAAATCCTGTTATGCCCATGATGTTCACTGGATTCCTGAATATCAAAACTGACACCACTGCAGCCACTGCAGCCTTGGCATTCCCCAAAACTTGCAGTGTCAAGGCACTTGTATGCTTAGTAACCAAGAAATTAGTCAAGTTCACCAAATAAGCAACTGTGGCATTACCAATCAACAAGAAAACCATAAATCCATCTCCCTTAGCTTTCTCCACTGTAACTGCAGCTACATTCCCCTCTATGTATAGTGTAAAAGGAAGCAAAATCATTGCTGCCATTGGAGCCATGTATAATAACAGATTCATAGAGTGCAATTTCTCAGCATCAGAGGATAACAACAACCCCTGAACAACAGATTTCAAGGCTCTCCCAGCAGTTGAACCTAAAGCCATCAAGAACCCAAACAAATGGAACAATGGCTCACTATTGCTAGCCAAAACAATACCAAGAACCACAGGGACAAGAGCTAAATAAACCTCAGCAGTTTCTTTCTTACAAGTAATCACAAAAGCAAAAATAGCAGTAAAAAATGGGGTAGTAGCACCAATTGCTTGATTAAACGATACAGGAAGGTACCTCAATGAAGTATTACCACAAACAACAGAAAAACAAAAAATAGCACTCAAAGCAAGAATCTTGAAGAACTGTTTCCTGCTATGTATCTGCTGGAAAGGAACAACTTCCAGCCACTTAATAGCAACTAAACTATAAGTAGCACATGACAACATATGCAACATAGTCAAGAATATTGGGTAACGATAACCATAAAAACTCAAAAGATACTTGTTTAGCAACAACACCCCAATATTTGAACAGTACCAAGAAGCAATTATAAGAGCAGTAAGTACATTTGGTGACACCAAAGAAGTTATCCCACCATTAGAATACTGTTGCTGCCTGATTTCAGCAGTTGGGGTTACTGGCATATCCAAGACTTGATCTTGGGGTGACTCCAATCTTGGATTGCTTCCCCTTCTTGTAGTCCATGACTGTGCCTCCACCATTACAATGCTTCCAACAACTTAAAACAGTGTAAAGATTCAATTTTTATGACTCTTGATACTACTTAGTATACTAAATACCCAATAGAATTTCAAGAAAATATAATGGGGTTGCCACTTAGCTGTAGTTTGAGTATTTGTCTAAATGGGGGTTGAGATCTGGGGGTAGTGAAGAAGATAGGGTAGGTTGGTGGGAAAATTTGGGGTTTGATCTAATTGAAGGGTCAAGATTTAGATTTCAAATGAAGGAAGTAATCCTGGCCATCGAATGAGAATTAAATGAGTAGAATAATACTAATAATAATAAAATAAAACTTAATGATTATAGCTGTGAACAAAGTGTCGGTACCATATTGGGTGCTTTAAACTCTATGCACTGTCCCACCCATGAATATGGTCCATTTTTATTTTATCAAACGTCTTGAGTTCAAGTTTAAATACGTAATATTTTAATAAAATATGTTATTTTTAAATTGAGATGTATTTAAGTTTGAGATAGGTTAGTTCTAATAAGGATATCAGACACTGATAAGACGGAAAAACAGTTGAGTTGTAATAGTGGACCAATAGAAATTATTTATCTAACATTCCCCTATATTTCATCCTAGTATAGGGGGGATTTATTTTGTAGTCATTATTTAAATTTCATAAAGATATATGTGGTTTAATTAGTCAATTAAGGTCAAACATATTATATTGACAAAGAAAATGTTATTTATTTGTTTATAGGAGTTTTGCATTCATGTTGGAGACAAGTAATATACAAAGATGTAAATGCATCTGAAGTGGAATTTGATGTGAAGTTTTTTTTATACATTTTTGTATGTTTTTTTTCTCCAAGCAATGCTTCAATAATTGGCAATCCAGATTGTTACTTGCCTCTTTAAAGTCAATATTGGTCATAGAAAATGGGTTAGAGAAAGTAATTAACAATCAAGATTGTTTGTTGACAGAGCAAATAACATAATCAAGAAGATCATTTTAATTGGCCTTTCAATTTTGCTAAACAAGAAAGGAAAGATTAATCATTATTATAGCCTTCTATTAAAAGATTGTTGCATTTAATAGTATGACTAATGATGGATACAAAATTGAAAATTATTATTCCACGCGAATTGTTTGATTTGACACAAAATTTAAAAAAAGAAAAGAAGACTTTTAAAATTTGTGGTAAAAAATAAATGATAAAAATTTATATTGCTATAAATCATTTCGTTAAAAATAAAATGGACATTTTAAAATTATATATAAATGTTTCATTCTTTTTAGATAAATTAAAAAGAAAAGTAAATCGTATAAATTGAAACAGAGTATATTTTTTCCACTTAGTTATGTCTTGGGGGGGCATGTGGATATCCAAGTTATAATCTCGAGATTATAATTTTGGAATTTGTTTTGAACTAAATGACATAGTCAAGATATACGTAAATTGATATAAATACTATCGTGTGATTAAAAAACGACTAAATTCATTGTCAAGTTCATTACATTATACATATTTCAAAATCAATTGTTTCCTCAATTAAATCGTAACTAGAAATGTCATAACAAAAAACAAAAACAGAGAAATCATTTGAAGAATTACACACATCTCCAATAGAACAACTTCTACTAGTAACAATTAATTCATTGGTAGACCAATGGACAAAGTGGTTGTGTCTGGTTCTGAATTATGATCTATGTTGTTCAGACTTTTCAAAAATATCAATGGTTGCATGTCAGATACTTTACCAGTAGCGCATTTTTGAAGAATCTGACACGATTGTGATAATATTTTTGAAGAGTCTGAACAACATATATCTGTCGAATTTGTTAATTCCATACACTTTCTTGAACGTTGGCGGCCTCTATGCATATGTTTTTCACAATATTTCTGATTTTGGACAACACCTTTGCTACATCTCCATTTCTTGCCATCAGTTCTCTTACATCTTCCTGGCTCTGGTTCCATCCTACTTTTATGTTCCCAACACACGTGTCCATATCCCATCACTACAAAAAAGAATCACGAAATTCGATTCATATTGTCTGTCTTTAACAATTCTTAGATTCTCGTTAAAAAAATCCTTAAATTATAATCATAAATAACGAAGCATAAGGAGGTTCAAATGAACCTTTTGCGAAAAAGTATACTACTAGTTTGAATTATTGTCTTCACCACTAATTACACTATCAAATCACGTTTACATGTTGTAGCAGGTAATATGTATTAAAAATCTGTTTAATTTTGAGTATTACAATTTATAATTCTCACATTTTTAAAGATAGTGGATATTCTTTAGACTACATTGACAATGAAAATATTTTTCAAATATTATAATTAAGGGTACATACATATGATAAGGAGCAAGATTTTACCAACACTTCACTATACATGTTATTATGAATCTAATAAAATCAAAGAAATCACCTTATTGGACTAAGCTTTGATTATATGCGAATTTGAATAAAGGTCAAACCATAATACAATCTTACCTTATATTAAGAGTTAATAATTTTGATATTCACTTAATTATCAATTATTTTCAGAGAAAGTCATTCAACTTTTATTTTCAATTTAAAAGTCACTCAACTATGACTTCTTTGCACAGAAAGTCACCCAACCTGTTTACTTATTTTTTTAGAAAAAATTAGTGACATGAAATTTTAATATTAACAAAAATATAAGAATCAAAATATAAATCCATTTAAAATATTTAATGACCCGCCCATTTAATCCAATCCACTAAAAATATGATATTAAACATTTTATTTTATCATTAATTCCCTAGATCATTCTCCGTTGAACATTGAACATTTTATTTTACCATTAATTAGCTAAAAGAACATTGGAGACAAGGGAGAATGCTTTAGGGAATTAATGGTAAATTAAAATGTTCAATATAATATTTTTAACGGGTCGGGTTAAATGGAGCGGATCATTATATGGGTATATATTCGACTCTCAAAATTTTGGTTAATAATTAAAATTCTATGTCACCAATTTTAATGAAAAAAATTAATTAAATAGGTTGAGTGACTTTCTGTGTAAAGAAATCATAATTGAGTGACTTTTAAGTTGAAAATGAAAGTTAAGTGACTTTCTGTACAACTAATTTATAATTGAGTAACTTTTGAGTTGAAAATGAAAGCTGAGTGACTGTGAAAACAATTGATAGCTGAGTTATTAACTCCTTATATTAATGCAAAAGATTATTTTCACATCTTAATTAACCTCGCGACATTTATATCAAACCGTTATCATTACACTAAGATTTTTGCCAGTTAAGAATGAAAAAAAAATGCTAGAAGGTTAGGTGAAGACTTACCATCATGAAGACCTTTTAAAGAACAAGTAAAAGACTTGTATATAGGAATAATTAGATGTGTGGGAACAGGTAGCCCTGCTTCTATATACTTGTAGATGATAAATTGTTGCTCTAATTCTTGCCTTTGTAGAAATGTAAATCCATATCCATTTGTACTAAAGTTTGAGTAGCTAAGCTCAAGATTTTTAAAACCAAGTTCAATTGAACATTTTTCACCTCCATCTGACACTGCACAAAAATAATAACAAAAAAGAAAAAAGAATGAGATAATAAAATAGTCATTTTTGGCCTAAAATATACACACCAAAAGAAACTAGTACCATTGTAGCAGACTTTTTTGGTAGCAATACTCTTGGGAGGTGAGATTTTGAGTTCCATTTGCAGATGAAATATATATATTTTTTGTTTATTTTAATAATATTATCACTACTAATTGTGTGTTGCTCTCATATTGTGAGATGTGCAAATAGGATTCAGATAAAAACAATGAAATACTGGCATAGACAGCAACTCTTCTGACATAGTCAGAAAATTTTGGCAGCTCCTGTTTTTGAATGGTAGGGCTTTTTTTTTTTTTTGGTTCGGTAGCTATATTGAAGCATGATTAAATTTATATTTGTGTATTGTAGAGTTCGTTTCTAGGAGGCAATACTTTTAATAGTGTTTTTTCATTTTCAAGGACTTGAATTCGAAATTCTAATTAAGAGTGAAATGATAGTGAATTGTTCCACCACAAACTTTGCACTTAGATTGTGTATAGTCTAAGAAAATGATAACAACATCATACCTAGTGAAAATCCTGTATAGGCAATCTTTATTCCATTTAGTAGGATTTAGGAAGAGTATAGTACACGTGAATCTTATCACTAATTTCTGGAGGTTGAGAAACTGTTTCGTAACTCACTATAACAAAAACTAGAAAAATGAGAATTTACATTTTTTTTTTTCGTGGAACTTACTATACTTTTCGTATTAACTATTATGCTTTATTTATTATCTTTTTCTTTCCTACTTGAATTTAATACACTTAATCTGATGGTATTTTGAAATCAATTTTCTTACTTTCACAAAATAGTGATAAAATTTATGTATATTTGACTCTCCCCAGACTTCACTTAGTGGAATTCCATGTAATATGTTACTATTGTGATGGTGAATTATGAAATATGAACAAATTTATTAGCATTTCTCCCCTAATTTTTCTCTGTTGAAAATTTAACTTGTGAAACATTAATCTGGACCAATCCAAAGTTAAAGAAAGTATATCGGCATACAAATTTTGGTTAATTGATAATTTGAAGTCACAAATTTGAAATCTAATGCATAATTTTTAAAAAAATTAAATATGAAATTTTAAATTTAATCTATAATTAAAAAATCCAGACAGACTATTAATTAGAAATTTTTGAATTTACCCAACTTATGACCACCGCTACTTACGATAGTCAAACACAATCGTTTTAGTTTTATTTACCTACCTTTTAATATTAGAACTATTTTTAACACAAAATTATTAGATTTCACGTTATTATTTATTATTACTCCAAAGTATTTTGTTATTTTCTCACTTAAAAATGGATAATGAATTTCTTGAAAATTGTGTCAACTAGAAAAAATAAAAGTTGCTCTTTACGTCACCAATTTTCTTTTTTTCACAAAATTGCACAGAAACTGTTAAATTGGACGAAATTGCTCCAAATTGTGTCTTCTTGTAATTAAAGATTGAAGATTCCATTTTTTCACCTAAAATTATTTAAAAAAACAATTTTTTTTGAATCTTGGTGTTTATGGCCTGGGACTCAAGTGATAGCTTGTAGAAGAGGTAAAGTTTCGATTTTTTCTATGTGGGTGTTTGTGTTTTTCCATGTTTTACTTATTGTGGTCGATTATGTTTCATACATGTGTATTGAATTGCTGTTAGATGGTGAAATATAAGTGTTTCATCTGCTGAACGCTTACTGTTCGACGAAAGTCCTAAGAGAAGTTAATGTTGTTAAAAAGTACATATTTTTTGCTTTTTGTGTCGTTTGTGACACTAATATTTGCCGAACTACTGCTCTCTTTTTATTGGTTTGCCCTTTACGTTGAAACTAAGCTCCCGTTTGGTCATCAATTTTGAAGTTGAAACTCGAAAATTTGAGCTTTTTTGAACTTGTGATTTTTGGTATATGAAGTTGTGTTTGGACATGTATTTTGCTTGGAAAAAGTTTCTAAGTTTTGTGAGTGGATTGTGGAAGTCCCAATTGGGAATTGATTTTTTTGATCACATTTCATGCAAATAAATATTTGAGGGTAAACTTTCAAAAGCTATGACCCTGACGCTGGCTAAGATTTTAGAAATTTTACTCGACTCTACTATTCCATTTCAAGTTTCCCTTGTTTTAGCTTGAATTTCTGGTTGATTACAGAAGCCTTAAGTAGTCAGTGTTACTTTCTAACGAAATGTGAAGGATTTCCATTCTCGCTCTCTCATGCGGGGCTAATTGACTTATTGAATGACTCCTCTCTTTACCGTCAAGTGGATTTCAGCTCTTTCTTTTTATTACGGGAAAGAAATTTAGGAAATCTTCCTACTTGTCACGAGACACTATTGTTTGTTGCATATTGAATTTGAAATTGTTAAGGAAGGAATCCTGCCCTTATTTTTGTTTTAGTATAATGTCCTTTGTATCCTCTTTCCTTTGATCTGCTCAGAAAACTGGGGAAAAATGTTATCTATAACTTTCCTCATTATTTTTAAAAGGTAGCTAATTCCATTGATTAATAATTTTATCAAGATACTTGAATATAGCTTACCCCCTCCGCTCTTTTATCACAGCTTATAAATGGGATAATCCTTTTGAAAGCAAAGCATTTACTACGTTCACTGTTGTGATAAATATATGTAGTTCAGGTCGTGGATAACTTAAGTCACCTAAATCTTGTACTTAATTTGGATCAAATTTTGTAGTGATTAAGGTTTATTGATGAGACTTCGGTAGAAAATTAGTGGGGTCTTAGCTATATCCATTATGCTTTAGGGAATTAGCAGTCTTTTTTAATTTATTGCTTGCAATGTTTGATCTTGCAGTTGCATAATTTACATAATGGCAAAGAAACCTGAATCTGTATTCCTTGAAGAATGGCTATGCAGAATCAGTGGCACCCAGGAGAACGTGACACTGAAACATCCTTCTTCGGCATCAGCCCAAGCTATCATCCAAGCATGGGCTGATCTTAGGGACTCCCTTCAAAATCAAGCATTCCACTCAAATCACCTCCAATCCCTAAGGACCCTCGTTGATGCTCAGTTCTCTCTCTATATTGCTGATCCACAAACAAAAATTCTGTTGTCTATTTTGTCCTCGCAAAAAGTCTCCCTTCCACAGGAATCTTATCCTTTATTTGTCAGGCTTCTATACATTTGGGTTCGGAAATCATTTAGACATTCTCCTGGGGTCATTGATTCAGCAGTTGAGGTCCTTTTGCACCTTTTCTCTGGGCATATTCATTCAAACAAAAGCTTATCTTTCTTCTCTGAAGGTGTTCTTCTCCTTGGTGCTCTTTCTTTTGTACCTTCAGCATCCGAAAAATCTAAAACCGTTTGCTTGAAATTGCTCTGCCAGCTTCTTGAAGAAGACTATAGATTGATCCATTTGTCTGAGAGGACAATCCCGAATGTTCTTGCAGGAATTGGCTATGCTCTATCTTCTTCTGTGAACATATATTTTGTTAGAGTTCTCAGTTGTTTAATGGAATTGTGGGATAAAAGCGACGGCCCTTTTGCTAGTTTGTCTAATGGGCTCATGATACTGCATCTGATTGAGTGGAGTTTCTCAAATTTTATCAATTCTAACTCCACAGACAAGATTGATCTTTTCAGTAGAGAGGTATTGAATAACACACGACCAGCATTCTCTTTGTTTGCTGTAGTCATGGCTGCTGCTGGAGTACTGAGAGTCATCAATAGATCTGAACAGAAAGCACTAACTGACCTTAAGATTTCTGTTGAGGAACGAATCGAGACCATTGCATGTGGTTTAGTTTCTAGTGCTGGAGATGCTGATTATGCTACAATGGAGCCAAGAAACTCCTTTCTGTTACAGTGTATATCATTAGCTTTATCTAAAAGTGGACCATTTTCTTACCAACCTCATGTGTTTCTATGCCTTGCTACAGCTTTATTGACTGAAATCTTCCCCTTGCCACACATTTATGTAAAAATCCAAGAATCACCTTCTGGCAACTTGGTGGGATTAGTTCTCAATGACGTGCAGCAACACCTAGACAGCATTATTTTTAAGGAAGCAGGGGCCATAACTGGTGTTTTTTGCAATCAGTATGTCATGGCTGATGAGGAAAACCGAAGTGCCGTAGAGGATATCATATGGAATTACTGTCGGGATGTCTATATGTGGCATCGGAAGGTTGCTTTGATGCTTGGAGGTAGGGAGGAAGCGCTGTTAGGGAATCTGGAAAAAATTGCTGAATCTGCTTTTCTCATGGTTGTGGTCTTTGCCTTAGCAGTAACAAAGCAAAAGTTAAGTTTAAGTGCTCCCCAAGAAATTCAAATGAGACTTTCAGTGAGGATATTGGTTGCATTTTCTTGTATGGAATATTTCCGCAGAATGCGTTTGCCAGAGTACATGGATACAATTAGAGCAGTTGTTACAAGGGTTCAGGAGAATGAACATGCCTGTGTCTCATTCTTGGAATCTATTCCATCTTATGATGATTTGACAAACCAAGCTGGTTGTGACTTTCTCCTGCATATTTTAATTGTCAATATCTTTGCTATATTACAGTCTTTCACAAAACATCACCTTTTTCCTTGCAGTACCTTCTAGCTTTCAGAAAATGGAATATATGTGGACTACTGATGAAGTGCAGACTGCTCGGATCTTATTTTACATGCGAGTAATTCCAACTTGCATTGAATGTATACCAGCCTCTGTATTCCGCAAGGTTCTGGCTCCAACCATGTTCCTGTATCCTGCATCAGATGGTTAAGGGCCCGTTTGGATGGGCTTAATAAAAGCAGCTTTAAAAAAGTACTTTTGAAAGTGCTGAAACTTATTTTTAAAATAAGCAGTTATGCGTTTGGATAAAAGTGCTGAAGTTGTTATGCCAAACGTGAAAAGGAAAAAATGGAAAAAAGAGATGTTAGGGTTATATGGATAATTTGGTCAACTTAAAACAGCTTATAAGCTAAAAAACAAAAAGCACCCCTACCCCAGCTTTTAGCTTTTGGCTTAAAATAAGTTTTTTTTAACTTAAAATAAGTTATTTCGAGTATTGCCAAACAGTTAAATAAGTCAAAAACCAGCTTTTAAGTCAGTTTGACCAGCTTTTAAGCTAAGCCAAATAGGCTCTAAATCTAGAAACAAATAGGATAGTCAAACCTGATTGAATTTATAAAAATTTCCTTAATGCATTTAACCAGATACATGGGGCATCCAACTGGAAAATTGGCTAAAGCCTCACACTCGGTGTTTGTCGCTTTCATGTCCTCTGGTAAGGATGCTGATCCAGATGAAAGAGATACATTAAAGGAGCAACTTGTATTTTATTATGTCAAGAGATCTTTAGAGGTAATAAAAACTACCAAAGTTAATTTCTGTGATGCTTGAACTTGTTCTCTGATTTAACTGAAAATTTAGGGATACCCTGGGATTACTCCTTTTGAGGGAATGGCTTCTGGAGTTGTTGCACTGGTTAGACATCTGCCTGCTGGAAGCCCGTCTATATTCTATTGCATCCACTGTCTCATTGAGAAGGCTGATAGCCTTTGTAGTTCAGTCGATACTACTCCAGAAACTGACTTGTGGAAGAGTTGGAATGGAAAGCTGGAGCCTTTCAAGATGTTGGATTTACTTTTTCGTCTCCTTTCTCTTGTTGATATACAGGTAAAAGTGGTAACAATGTTTATCTTCAACTGGGCAACCTAATGATGTGCAGTTACAAGTTCAATCATTAGAGAACACGTGCCTTCCATGGATATGAAAATATTCAATATGTGTGATACGTCACTTTAATTGTTTTACTTTCGTGTCTTCCTTTGTTAGAAAATTTGGGTAATTGGTATAATTTGTAGGAGCTCTTTCTTGTTACATAAAAGCTTTGGAAAATGGATAGATGTTTCAACTATGAAAATGCTGATTTGTCTTAGGTGTCCTAGCCCGATATATGCCTACTGTGCAAATATAATGCACTTGACGTGGCTGATACTTTTTTTTGCCTCTCAGGTTCTGCCTAGTTTGATGAAGTCACTGGCACAGTTGGTCGTTACATTACCACCAAGTGGCCAGGATATCATTCTCAATGAATTATATCAACATGTTGCAGAATCAGATGATGTTACACGGAAACCGACAATGGTTTCGTGGTTGCAGTCACTGTCTTATCTTAGTTATCAAAATACTAGCAAGAAAGCACCAAAAGTGGCAGCAAAAGAACTACATGATTCAATATCAGGAACTACAGACTCATTAAGCATGAATAAAATCAGTGCACGTCTGTAGAAGATTGAGGTATACAATTCTCACTTAATTGTTGGTAATATTACATAAGAATACATGTCCACTGTTAATCACTGGTCCCTTGAAATTTCATCACATCACACATGAATAAAACAAACAATCGTGGACAATGGTTATGCAGGATTCATGGATACCAGAAATGTGTAAGATGAGGTTAATGCTGAGATTGGTGCTTCTTTAATCTGATGAGAAAATGTTCATTGTTTGGACTGCATTTGACTTGCAATTCTGTGCATAAAGGAATGTTAGGTTTTATTGCATTGTTGTTTATAAATAAACTTGTATTACAAAGGGAGCAATTGAGGAGAATTCTGAAAGACTTCTCTTCTATTTATCAAGAACTGATGTGACAAGTCACAAGTACTTGCAATTATAAATGTCACACAGGAGTGAGGACCATGAATTGGCTTTCTGGTGTTATATCCCACATATTTCCGTGTCTATGATTTCTGGATTCAATTTTGAAGTTTCTTCGCAGAATTATTAGGATCTGTTGCTAGTAATCCAGGGCAAAATTCAACATCCAACGCCAAGGGGTGAGTTCTCACTTCCAAGTGCTGCCTCCAAAATTGGTTTGTGGATAGCCATAAACCTGTATGGTGTAAAATATGTTGGCTTAATGTCTGTATCCTTTGAGATTTACCATTTGTTCATGAAGACTTGGGTCTGCTTTGAGATGGTACCGACACAAACTTCATCAGATTCTGTTCAACAAGCCAAGAAGAAGTATGATGCAGGGTGAAGTTGCATTTTCTTTTTATGCCAAGCTTCTGGCTGAGGAAATTGTGCTTTCCATATCTTGCTCTCACTCACTTTATCGAGCTTCCCTCATCTCAGCTTGTTCCTGCTTTACTTGGTATTTATGCCGAATTGTGAAGCAACTCTGCCACTGCTCATCCTATACCATATCATGATGCCCCTTCCTCCAACGAACAAATGCTGGAAAAGATTGAAAATGTTGTAACATAGACATTATACAACTTCTTGACTATACAGTTATATGATTGATTATACTGAATTACAACTATTCTGTTAGCATAAATGGTCAAGAAACACTGTGAAGTGTTCTTCCCTCAGTTCACTCTTCTAGTAGGACTGGATACTTCCCAGAGATGTATATTTAGCTGCCTTCCCCTTGGTGTATGTTTGAGCTTGAATAAAATGCTCCTTTACTGAATTTAGTGGTTTTGACTCATATTTTTGTTCTGATAAAGTTAAGATCTTTCATTCACTACATCAAGTAGATGCATAGTTGCAAGGAAATTAAAAAAGCATTAACAGAAGTACAAATGAATCTCTTTTTAGTGTGTTTTGGGGCGAGCTTTTTTATGTCGTTGATAACTAATATGAGACGGGGTGAGTAAATGAGTAGAAAATGCAAAAGAGTATTGTTTTTCGTCTTTTCGATTTTATTATTATACTAATAAAACATTCCACAAGGGAGTAGTTTGCCAATAGTGCTGGAAAATGAGAGTAACAGTGCCACGTTTTGGACTTCCATTCTTGAAACCTCTCTATGAATTCCCCTTTTCCTCTTCTTCTTCAAACCTTTGGCCCAGAAATTGTTCTGGAAGCTTCTCTGTAAAAATGTCAACAACCCCACCTTCTCAAATCGCTGACATCATCAATCTCCCCACCCAACTCGACCAACCGGTTTCTGTTGTCGCTGCTCCCGGCGTCTCCGATACTCACTTCAGGCAAATCCCTCAACTTTTTATTTCATTTGCGATTCTATTTTTAGCTATCAATTTACCCAATTCTTACTTAATAGGGCATTTGTTGTGTGGGTTTTATAAGTTTTTCATGATTTTTTAGAAAAAAAAAAGAAGCAGCCTTTTCTATGATAAAGATTAAGCAATTTTCTTGGCATGGATCCATTTGGATATACCTCAACATGTTATTCTTTGTTTTCTTTTACTTATTCGGGTTCTACTTTCATCTGTCAATTTAAGTAATTCACACTTGATTCTTGTTATGTCCTTTTTTTCTTTTTGGGGTTCAAGTTTTAGCTTTCAGTTACGTAATTCACTAGTATGCCATTTGAGGTGAGGTTGTAGAAGTAAAGATTTTTAGTTATGTTAAAGATTAAACATTCTCTTGGGATGGCTTTGGATTATGTGGGCTGTTTGGATGCCATTTGAGGTGAGGATTGTGCATGATTTTCAGAAAAGGAAGCATTTTTATGTTAAAGGATGGTTTGAGTGAATTGTCTGTTTTCTTGTAGGAATGCTATTGAATCCTCATTGTTCAAACAGTGGTTAAAGAACATACAAACTGAAACAGGACTGCTGGCTAATGGAGCGCTGTCTTTAAAACAAGTTCTTATCCAGGTTTCTATCTCAAGCTGTTCTGCTAAACTATGAAGATAGTAACCTTTACATGGTCAGTAGTTACAATGAAATATATTGTTGGCTAATGGGACCATTAGAACACAAATTGAGTTGCTTGAACCCTTCTAAATTTTTTCCACATTGGACAATTGGAGGAAAATGGTCTGTCTTCTGATCATAACTGATGCTGAGGCTCTTAATTATATCTTTATTTAGTATGTTTTGTCCTAACATTTATCAAAAGAATGGATATCTAGGTTGATTGTGCACTTTATGCTCCTTAAAGATTCCTATGCTTCCCTAACATAGTTGTCAGTCGTGCTCCCTCCTAAAGAGGATAAAAAGGAAGTCTTCTTGATGTACGTGTCTGAATTTTTGGAATGATGTTAACTCGCACTATCAGCGACCAAGAGTCCAAGACATAGTGACTATCACAGGATTTGAAACTGCTTTTGGTCCTGCTACCGCAAACATTAAGTTTGCTTTACAGCTGACATTCCTTTTTATGTGTTGGAGCAGGGTGTAGATATGTTTGGAGAGCGTTTGGGGTTTCTAAAATTCAAAGCAGATATTATTGATAAGGAAACGGGTCAAAAGGTATCTGATTAGAATCTCTCCATCCCATTGGATATGTAATTCATTCAGCCGGACTATGAATAGCTTCTCTTAAAGCTGTGTCCTCAATTTATTTTGCTTTGGTTTTTTTTCCTTGTACCTTAGAGCATTGAACAATACAGTACTCGTGACATAGCTCGACAATATTAGCATGACAATGATGTATTACTTCCATTTTCCTTTTTCCTAGCTTATCCTTGGTTGCAACAAGGGAAACTTCTTTCCTGTCACTATCACCTCTTTTGTGTCTAGGTTCCTGGTATTGTCTTCGCACGGGGTCCAGCTGTTGCAGTTCTAATCCTTTTGGATTATGAGGGTGAGACATATGCTGTGCTTACGGAACAGGTAGGTCTTCCAACTGTCAACTCCTCCATTTTTATAACGTCGAAAAATATCTCACAGTACAGATAATATGAGGAAATTTATGAAAGTTTTCTGTCCCTTTTACTGTTTAAACTCTAAAATACATTCAACCTGTTTGGAAGGTTAGGGTCCCAGTTGGGAGGCTAATTTTGGAATTGCCAGCAGGAATGTTGGATGATGACCAAGGCGACTTTGCTGGAACAGCAGTTCGAGAAGTCTCTCTCTCCCTTTCTATCAAAGCACTATCCCCTTCTCAAAATTTTCTCAAGTGAGACAAGCTGTCCCCTTGTTTTTTTGGTGTTCAGTTCCCTAGTATATTAGTTTATTATGGCATAATGAACTGTATTCCTCTTATCGTGTCATTTTTCAACAAATCACTGGAAGTTCCTTCGTTTCTGAGCAAGTTCAATTGAATCCAGAAATCTGCTAATGAAACTATATGCGTGACTAAACTGAAATCCTTATAAGAACATCACAACTTCCTTATCAAAAGCAACTATTTGTTTTACATATTTGACAACTTAGTTGCACTCCACTGTATAATTAAATATTGAATACTTTTGCATTTGAATATATATCGGTTTTAGCGCGTGGATGGAAAAATCAGAGAGTTTGACATTGCTTGGCTTAACTTATAATTGAAGTATTTGATCTAATATGATTCAGGTTGAGGAAGAAACTGGAATACACCTGAATGTCCATGATATGGTCGATCTCACGGCTTTTCTTGACGCGTCAACTGGGGGCAGAGTTTTTCCTTCTCCTGTAAGCATTCCACCATCTTCTATAAGACTCAGATAACTCTCAGCGCATGCTTTCTTGGATTTTGTATTATAGGAACAGAAAAAAGTAGAAATATTTGCATTAACAACTAGTTTCTGCTAAAACTCTTATGGAAATGTATGTGTTGTAATATATATTTTTTTTATTTCTGTTAGTCAATAATTTTGATTCATTGCACTGCTTGCTTTACTGTTTGGAACCTGTAAATTGTAATGACATTGGATATTGCTCCATGTGCACTTGCAATTAGTGGTATATTTGTGAACCTTGCCCATTGCACGGGGTAGGACTAGACCTGACTTTTTTTGTTAGAGAGGGAAAGGTTCGGAGTAGGCGCAACTACATTGGATCTTTTGTATGCAGCCAGCCTTATATTGGGTGTATTTTTCAATTCAAAGATGAGGCCTTCTGTGATTGTTTCTGCCTTTATATATCTCTTAACACTATATTTATGTGGTTTTGGTGTTCTTTCAATGTTAGGGTGGATGTGATGAGGAGATGAGTTTGTTTCTCTACAGAGGAAATGTCAGCAAAGAGAAAATCCAACAACTGCAAGGGAAAGAAACCGGACTACGAGACCATGGTGAGCTGATCAAAGTGCATGTGGTTCCATATGATAAACTATGGCGTGCCACAGCTGATGCAAAGGCTCTGACCGCCATTGCTCTCTATGAGATGGCTAAAAGAGATGGACTGTTGTCTTGATCGACGAGTTAATAATTTCTCCTCCATTATATAACAACTTACGATTGTATGCTTTGCTGAAAAGATGACGACTCTCTATTTTAGGCAAGTCTGCTTCTACAGTATGAGCATTCCTAGGTGAACGCTCCGGGTAATTGCATCTACTGTTGCTTGGTATTGAATTTTTGTATATTAGACGCAACTGTTCTGCATAGAACAGAATTTTACTGTTTCGAAAAAGAAATTTAAAAGGGGAAAGAGAAGATTCTTCCTTGTTATCTATCAGTATTCAACACGACTACCACCAACTGGAATTTGAGCTTTGTTTGAAGTTGAATTCCCTATCTTTTCTCATTCAAATGAAGAGGAGCAGTTCGTCACACAGGAACCAAAGAAAGTGAGAGCAACAAATGATTACATTTATTTTTGATACATTAGCTTGTCCATCCAACTTAAAAGCATCATGAATGTGAATGATACAGACGTAGTAGTATACAATGATCAAATGATTCTAAAGATAATAAACTGTTCAGATTTTGCTGGTTGCTTCCCAGATAGTTGTACCATCACAAGTGCAAAGCTTCTTGTAGTTCTCACCAACCCCGGCACTTCTAGCTATCACTGCTGCTGTAAGTCCTGGGTCTGATTTATCTTCAGTAGCATATACAGCAATAGCTCTCCCAATCAGGTCAGCAACTCTCAGCTTCTCTTTAGGACCGGAATAAAATGCCTCTCCTTTCTCGTCAACATCCAGTGTTCCCAGGTCACCGAGTGGCTGAAAGATGGAAAAACACATCAGAAATGCAGTTAATAGTCTGTCTGGTGCAACATATATTAGACATAAGTAAACCAATCATTCATTAGAACTTTATCCATATATTTGTCTCCTTTTGACTGTCCAACAAAAGGAAAATTACAATTGATAGATGCTTATTTCACTTTCAGAGGACAAAGAGAGAGGAAAAGTTTCACAGTCCTTGACAAATGTTATCTAGTATCCAGACAGTTACGATTCCATAACTAACAGCATGGTATTAGATGCATTTCATATGGCAAAGGACCACTTAAAAGCATTTATATCATACTCCAAACACTTCAAGCATCCTTGAGTGAGATTAAATGAAACATGATTGCATAATTAATATTATGGATCCTGATTCTCTCTTTCTCAATGCAAGTATATTGCAGAATCCATGCCCCCAAGAAACAAAGGTTCGTAGAAAGAAGATAGTACAACATATTCAACATAAATAAAATGTTCTTTTGCGTGTTACTTACTAGGCTGTACAATTTTCCAGTACTAGCTGCCCCCCTCGTCAAATCACCAAATTCATTAATAGACCAAGCATGCTTCCCAGGTGACAGGCCACTGAAGTTTGCTTCAATCCTAGTTAATTCCATATTGACTTGAGCCAAGCGAACAACACCAAAAATATCTGGTCCTTTGAATTCGGCAACGGCAGCAGATATAAGGAAATCTACAGGGCATGGTTCAAATGAATATAAAAGTAAGATGCATCGCATAAAATATAAAGCAGATAAAGCTAAGACGACTGAAGCTCATGAGAGAAGTGCATAATATCTCTTTTTTTGCACTCTTCGTTCCCTTCAGCACTTAAGAAGGCCATTACACACTATAATCATAAGTATGCTTTACTTCTGCTCATCCTCTTTAACATAGCCAGAGATGTGAAGACATAATGCTTCACAAATTTTCTATAATACTAACTTAGGAAACATGACAGATGCAATTAGATAAGATCGGAACATACCATCCGGTACTCCTTGCCCAATCAGACGGGCTTTTCGACCTGTTTGCTCCAAGGCTTCAGTCATTGTCTTCACAGGTGAAGATCCAAGAATTCTCACTACTTGATTATCAAGATCCACATCTACATTCTTGACTCCTAAAAGCCACATAAAAGATCTCTTTCAACACCAAAACAAATGAGGAAGTTAAAAATAAAGCCCCATTACAGGGCATGGTTTCTCTCTTCTTCTTTTTTCTTAGCATATACCTTCTACGGTTTGCAATTTGCTCTTGACAGCACTAACACAGCCTTGACACGACATATCCACCATAAACTCTGTCTGTCACCAATTTGTCAATATGATCAGTTTAACGTGGAAAAAAACAACAATGTGCAACATAATATATCAACTCACAAAGAAACCAATAGAAACAAACATAAGCCCCCCAAACTAAACCTTCAATAACCAACAAAATGGGCTACATTAAGCCATCAAGATTAAAAGATACCCCCCTCCCGTTAAAAGTCATCATCTCTGATACACTCACTAATCACATTACAACCAGCACAATCAATTTACCTCAGCAATTGATCAAGGAGAAAAAACCGTCACGTGTTATCGGCAATATAATTCAAAAGCAGAGCTACAGATTTTTTATTGACAAATGAATATTGTTTGTAGTAGCATTATATAAGGGCTCTTGTCCTCTCTTCTAACAGAAGATGTTAGTTGATCTACCTAAAGCAGAGGCGAAAAAGATTGATATAATACTACTCTTAAGTGTACATCTCCTCCTTTCATCAAATGTTGTACTACTCATAGTACTATCCAAAGTACAAAGTTACTAGACTCTTTATAAGTACAAGAATCCTATTTATTGTACAGCTTCCAATGTGCAATAAAAAAACACCAGAAATTTCCTCATTTCTCCTCCAAACAAAAATAACAGAGATTTTTTTTTTCCTGAGAAAAAACTTACCAGCAACTCAGGCAAAACGACTCCATTCTGCAAACGAAAAATCACATAACCCAATTAGAACAATAGCATCCATTTATTGCCAAATTTACAAACAAAAAAAAATTAAACATATTAGTTTTTCATTCTGGATTAAAAAAAAGAGATGGATCTAAAATTTAGTAGTGAAGAATTGCAATACAAGTAAGACCTCCCTAAACCCTAAATCCTCGCCAATAGGTGAAAATTCAATTAGCCAACCAATTGACCCCTGTAAGATTCTCCAAATAATTCAAAAAATCAACAAAAAGATAAAAGAGCTGAAGGATAAAATTATTACATCGGAGGAAGTTTGGTGATTTGAAGAATGCGTTTCCATATGAAGAGCTGAAGGAGGACTCTTTTTTTGTAGATTCTTCGCGAAGCTTAATTGGAGAATCGAATTCGAACTAGAAATTGAGCCAAATTTTAGATTTTTCAACGGACGTTCAAACTGCGAAGAAGAAGAAATAGAAGAAACAGCAAAAGCAGCAGCTGGAATAGCAGCAGCAATGGCGGTAGTTTTTGCAGTCACAATGGACCTCAAAAATGCCATTTTTTTTTACTCTTTTTATATTCAGAGTTTTGGTCATAGAGAAGAGAAGTCGATGCCTGAGGCAATCTAGAATCATCTATTGCATGTAATCACTTAATTGGGCTTTTTTAAGTTTTATTGGGCCATATATAACTACTTGGGTTGGTCCAAGTAGACAGAAACTATCTAATAGCACAAATATTCGGTATTAATTAGGAAAAATTATGCGGTTAAGTAAATTTATACTATTCAATTACTCATTATAGCTATAGTTTGTTATAATTATAACTCGTGATTAACATTATACGTTAATTACGTGGGTTGACTTTGAGTTTGTATTAATTAGTCATGATTGTAGATGTATAATTCGACAGAATATGCAAATACCGATGTATTTATACAATTGTCTAACCGATATACATATATAATGTACCTCACTCCTACTCTCTACCCTCTCTCGCTCGCCTCTCTCCTCCCACTCACAATCTTGCTTGCTATATATACAAATACATATGTATAATATACAATTCGCTCGCCTCTCTCCTCCATATAACGTATAACTATGAATTGTAATTATCAAACTATAGCTATGGAGAGTAATTATGCTACTTTTAAGTGACTACATGTGAAAGTTTCCCTAACTAACTCTCCATACAGTTTGAAAGAACTATATTTATATATCTCTAATTAATAATTTAATATAAGATTTCAAGTCAAATACACCTAAACATGTCTTTTTTACATATATTGAAATAAAGAGAAAGACGAGCGAGATTTACCTATGTGTTCCAAACATATGCGAATCACACTAGATACATGTATTTGTATGCATCAAATGTGAATTGATGTTTATGATATACCAAATATATAGGAGAGTAGCGAGCAAAATGAGAGGGAGACGAGCGAGATTTCTCTATGTAGCATAGATACATGCGAATCTACTTGGATAAATGTGTCTAGAGCAAATTACACCTAATGTTGACCCATATATCTTGAATTACATATATTTGGATGCACAAAAATCTGGTAAGATTCGTAATATTGTAAACTAACGTGTATCTTAGTAATTAACTCTGAAACTAGTGGAATTTCTGTAAGTTACCCTTTTATTAGCGCGTTTGGTAGAAAATAAGTGACTTGCTTATATATTTTCTAGTACTAGTCATGGACATGTGAGTTGCACGTGTGAGCCATGTTAAGTTGTCTCATTGTCTCGATAGAGATTTTTAAAGCTTATGAATGCGTGCAATAATATTGATTTAGTAGTAGTGTGCATTTTGTTTAAAAGTCTTATCATGTGTGGATGACTTATATTGATGTCGTTAAGGGCTAAAGATTTAATTGATGCATTTAATAATATGTATCATATTTATGTGGTAAATCATGAACGATATAATCAACTTAATATGAAGGCCTAAGTCATATACAACCCCCTTAACTTGTCCACATATTTCATTTAGACACCTCAATTCAACTGTATACCAATTGAACACTTATATTGTAAGAGATTTCTACCTATTAAACATTTTGTACTGACATGGCAGCATGTGTGTAGTACATACATGAAAAGAGCGTGAAAGGGCATCATTTAACCAAAAAATAATAATTTTCTTTTTTTAAAAAAATAAAATAAAATTAGCATCTCTTCATCTTCTTCTTTGACTCAACCACCATTAGAACCACCGCAATCACCGGTGTCCCACCATTAAAGTATATTCCATTTTTTCTCGAGCTGCAATCATTCTTCTTCTCTATACCACCTTGTTTTTTAATTAAATATGCATCACCATATCCACAATGCTGTTTTCCTTTATTTTTTCGGTCATCTTCTTCCCCTTTTTTTTTTCAGACCATCATCTTTTTTCTCCTTTTTTACTGGTCATCGAACACCACCTCATTTTTCTCCAAATTTATCATCGTCAATATCTTTTTTTATTTTTAGCTTTTCAAACAATCAATTACAAATTTTAATTTGTTCATTAGAAAACAATGCCACCAATCATCTTTTTCTTTATGCCAAATCAACTCAAACATGAATTGAATCTAAGCTTAAAAATAAAACATTAATTAGATAAAAAGAAGTAGAAAAACTTAGGTGATTTAAGTGTTTTTTTGAAAGAAAAAAAAAAGGAGGAAGAAGATGAAGTTGGGGTGGGGTGGGGGGAGGGGGGAGCAGGTCTGAGCGGAGGCAGGAACATACATACTTTAGGATTTTATTTTTTTTAATTATAATTATTTTTTAGCAAGAAAAACAAATTTAAGACACGTGGCTTCTTTTAATTAATTAGTTTGCCATGTCATGGCAAGTGCATCACACACACTTGACATTTTTTGTTGATTATCAAAATGTGTCTAATAGGAAAATTTTTATATAAGTAAAAGTGTTCAATAGGTAAAAGATTAAATTGAGATGTCTAAATGAATAATGAGGACAACTTTAAGGGGTCACATATGACTTTGGCCTAATATGAAGTATCACATAAGAAGCATGAAGTGTTGTAAATTATGAATAATAATAATATTAAAACATTAGAATGAAATACAATATGAACAAACAAGAAACGTCAACATTAAAGCATAATGAAACAATATAAGAGACAACAGAATAGACCATGGTGTGACGCATTGAAGAGTATGGGTCGAGGTTTAATCGATTATGTTTGCATATTTCAAGCAATGTAATGTTGTTAGTATTTTATGATTTATAAATAGTTCATTATTTGTGTTAGAATGAACATATATGTATATCATACCTAAAACATCCTTAATGTTCTTTGTGTATGTTCCATTGTGGCGTTTTGGTTGCTCGGTTAGGACAAGTACTTTTGTTGTGGACATAGATATCCCTCTAGAGAGTGCCACGTACAATTGACCATGTGAGAAAACATTTTGAGGCAAATACAATTCAACAATTGGAATTGTTTGACCTTGCGCTTTATTTATAGTCATTGCAAAGCAAAGTCGTATCAATTTTGATGGTGATGAAAGCAAGAAACCTGTTAAAAGTATTACAACATAAAGAGATAGTAAATGTAATTTCCAATGAACTAAATTAATAAAAAAGAAACAAATTACTGCATCGAAAGTATTACAAACTGAACGACTTCAAAATGGAAAAGTCTTTGGCCGACAATCTTTAGACTTGTTATGGCAGAACGTGGATATTGCCAAGAAAAGCTGAGTATTGGAAGATATTACAACAATAAAGCTCTACGACTAAAGCTTTGGCCAATTAGGAAGAAATCACTTCAATTTATAAGAAAAAGTCATATATGTCTCTTCTGTGTTAGGATTGTGACAATGCTAATTAATTAATGCAAACATCTTGTAGTAATATGGTGTTTCTTGTGGTACCTTACCATACATGATTTTGGTAAAAGCTAATGATGTTGTATCGTTACTGTTCTAATTGTGGACCGTATTGAAGTTTTATGCGAAAACAAACCATAGACAAACAGTATTGAAGGTTTATGCAAAAGCAAATCATAGACAGGTGGTGAAGTTAGTTTGTTGTTTAGAAACTTTTTTTTTTTGTAATATGCGTAGAGCTGTACTATACCCTGTATTATGCTCGTTACTTATGGCCTTGTGATTTAGGATAGATATTCAACTAAGTATAGAGGAAAATTACAATGAAATTTCTTTTATTAGGAAACTCACAATGTCAACTATTTCAAAACAAACGACAAGCTCCTTGCGGAACAACAAAAAAAGAGTGTCTGAATTAAAATCAGGATTTTTTAGGACTATCTGAATCTGTGGAGGATCGAATTAGTGCATAAGTTTGAAATAATCTGCTGTTAGAAGCTGCATATTAAAGAGAACCATTAGGCACAATATTGCTAACTACTTTTGCATTTGACAGAGATCCCAGCCATGCAGATCACTAAGCGAAGAAATTGATAATAACTGAAAATCCATGCTTTCAGGCAGAATCAAGAATGAAAAGATAGAATTTTACTTTACTAACCGTACTTATTCATTAAACAACAATTTGAGGAGTACTTTACTGTCCATATTTTTTTTATTCAACAACAATATGAGGATTTTTTTTACCTGATTTATTTGATTGAGGCACAGAAACGATAACAGATTAATGGGCAATAACAACTTCTTGGAGACATTTATATAGACGCCTGAAGTATCTGAAAAGCCTGCTGAAGCTGAGTGTTGGAAATTTTTTGTCCCACTGATCGAAGAGTTTGAGCAGAAACTTGGACGAAGAGGATGAGGCAACGTTTAGTTTCTGGAGAATTAAAGCAGCTACTCTACGTCTCTGTTACATTGAACATGAGGCAACAGTTAGTCTGTGGTGAATTTAAAGCAGCAACTCTACGTCTCTGTTACATTGAACATGAGGCAACAATTGGTCTGTGGAGAATTAAAAGCAGCGACTCTTCGTCTCTTACATTGAACATGAGGTTAAGGCTGAGGCAACGGTTGATGTGTGAAGAAATAATTTAGATATCATCAGCTAATTTATAATAAATTAATTTATTAAAATTATAGAGATAAAACAGTAAATTAACTTTTGGGTTAAACTCTTCAGATTTATAATATGATATGATTTGGTAAATAAATAAAAAGATACTAACTCAAAAGCATTTATATGGAAGGTACCAAAATATTATGAGGGTTGAAGGTGGGGGGTTCAAGTGTGGTCAAGACTCAAAGGATGGGGTTTAAGAAGATTGTTTTGCTAGAGAAAATATTTTGATCGACCAATCAAACATGAAAAAAATTGAAAACAAAAAATGTTCTGCCGCCACCAAAAAAGTAAAAGAAATGATAAAAGGAAAAATTGATTACTATCAATAAGGATATGCATTTATTTTCTTCAATTAGGTGTGAACAAACATTGAAGCAGTATTTAATATTAAAGACCAAATAATTATCAATATAGTACTGTAGTTTAAAAAAAAAAGAAGAAGCATATAGTGGAAAGAAACAGAACTTTCACTATAATCAAATGTTTGAGTACTTTATGCAGTTATATAGCCAAATTTTCATTGGATCAACAAAAGTGCAATTGGACTTCTCACTGAGTGCCTATTAGAAGTCCACTTCAAGAATCCCTCAATAACCTCAGTGTTTGAGCTATTAGCTGTCTTGGAAAATGTCACTTGGTATGTCAACTTCTGGTTCAACTCGGAGAAATTTAGCTCGGAGGGTTCAACTTCGATGGCAACGCCTTCTGGTGAAGCTACCTCCACTTTGTAAGATGATTTAGCATCACCAACATTGGTCACAGTTCTGGTATATGTCTGAGGAGTTGATCCAAGGTCGTATATGGAAAACGAAGGATAGTTTAATTGTGCTTCAAGAATACTTTTCACCTCCGAGCAATTCACCTTGCGTTGTAACAGGTTACCTACCTGCCGATTTGTGTAGTTCAAACCACATAAATAAGGTACATAGTCCTCGAATGGTGTATCATAAACTAGTCCTGGATCATTTGCCCTCGATGGATTAACATGTCCTGCACCGATTGCATAAATGTCAGCAGGAAGGAGCCTTTCGTCTAGTATTGGACTGTTGGCTAGGTTTAATGTGTCAGCTGTTGTCATCATTGCAGACTTAATAGCAGCAGGAGACCAATCAGGATGTGTGCTCTTCAGCAGAGCAGCTACGCCACTAAGGTGAGGGCAAGACATTGATGTGCCTGATATGATATTGAATGTGGATTTGGTGTTTTTGTTATCATCCACAGAGGTAGGCCAAGCAGCAAGGATATTAACACCAGGACCGATTATGTCAGGTTTCAAGATGCCAATACTAGCTCCACTTGGTCCGCGAGACGAAAATGCAGCTACTATGGGAGCATTTTTATCTCCAATTATCGTTCCTTGGAACGTGATTGTAGCAACAGGGTTCGATGTTGAGTTCATATAAGCAAGGATTTTTGTTCCATCTGCATCAGAAATATCCAATGCTGGAAGCACATGAGCATCGGCTGATTTAGTGACACCAGAACGCTGCTGGTTGATTATAATCATGCCAACACCTCCAGCATCCTTTACAGCTTGCCCTTTATCAACCCTCGGAACTCCACCACCTGCCAAACATATGACTATCTTTCCTCTTATAACGGGATCAGTAAGTGACCCTGATCTGCAATAAGGTGTTTCAAATTCGTCACTTGCATTTTTTCCAGCATCAAATAGAGCGAAGAATGTTGAGTTGGAAATCTTTGGACGATAAGCAGATTCTCCTTCAAATTCCTCTCCATTTCCAAGCTTAACAGTAGCTTTTAGCTTTCTATCTTGAGTGCTAGCGCCTACTGTAAGAATCCACGGGGCTTCATTTCCTACTGAGCCAGTAGAAGGACCATTATTGCCGGCAGAGCAACTTACAAGAATACCTCTTTCTGTTGCACTATATGCCCCAAGAGCAATAGGATTACTATAGAAATCACTCGAACCACCTCCACCAAGAGATATAGAAAGGATATCTACGCCATCATCTATAGCTGCATCCATAGCAGCTAAGACATCAGTGTCAGCACAACCATCAGAATTACATACCTTATATACCGCTATGTGGGCAAAAGGGGCAACACCAGCAGCAGTGCCATTAGCATTACCAAATACATTGGCACCATTCACAAACGCTCCAGCTGCTGTGCTTGCTGTGTGTGTACCATGTCCATCATCGTCTATCGGGGAACCATGGCCAAGTTGGTAAGACCTGGCTCCAATGAGCTTGTTGTTACACTTGTTTGTGAAATTGGACTCACAAACTCCTTTCCACTTAGCAGGCGGAGGAGGCATCCCAACGTCACTAAACGAAGGATGATCAGGAAGAATTCCAGTGTCTATAACTCCGATAATCACGCCTTTTCCATAGTTGGAATCCTTCCATACACCCATGTTCTGCTGCAAACCAAGAAAGCTTGAAGTATGAGTAGTATCCAAGGACAAAGTCCTCTGTTTCTGAGCGGAGACAAAGCCGTGTATCTTCTCCATTTCCTTCACTTGTTCTGCAGTTAATCTTGCTGCAAACCCTGTCATCACATTGTGATAAGAATAGATCATTGTAGCAGCCTCTTCATTTCCGCTAGAGCTGATTGCGGTAGTAGTTTTAGGCAAAAAAGAAAGGTAATAGCTATCTAAATCCGTTAACGATGATTGAGTAGAAATTAGGCTTTCGGGGGATTCAACATGGACTAGATAAGTCTCGAGATTACTCTGAATAGTAGGCCATGGGAAAGAGCAAAAGATGAAAACAAGAAGGATTTTCAAGAATCCCATGGCTTGCAAATGGTATAGTAATAGTACTTAATAATGTTATAATTGGAAAATGAATTTGATGATCTTTTGAGATTAGGAGTTATATATATACATACATATATATTGCTTTTATACTTGGAAGTATACACATTAATTTTTTTTTGCTCCACTTGCAAAGTCATATTGATGAACTCTGAGTGTGATGCGTATTAATTGTTTTTATGAATGATTAATGATTATTTTCATCTAACTTTAAATCATCAATTGCAATCTCTTCTTTTTCTTTTTTGCGTTTAATTGCTTGGTTGAATCACAATAATTAAGTTCTATTTATTATCTAATATATGTTGGAGATATATTGTTTTTAGATTAGAAAAGAATTAAGCAGGGCATGATCTAATTCCCTAGAATTAGGGCAAGTATTTGAACAGGATATATCTAGTTATCCTGTTCAACCAACTATAGTAAGAAAACATTAATTCTATTTTGATTAGGTGAGTAGAAGTTCCTATGAAATGGGGTCAAATAATTAAATGGGAAAACCCTACCAAGGTTCTTTGGTAGGTGTATGTATTTAATGTCGGTGAAGATAATATTTTGTGTGGTGCAGATAGAACAAATTCATATTTTGATAATTCGTTCATATTTTAATGAGTTGGGTGAGTGATTTTTATATGCATAATTTCACATAGTGTTAAGACGTAAAGAGTATCTTTTAACGTATTTGTCAGCTTGTGTTTATAGGCAAGTGTTTAATTGGAAGACAAGTCCCGTTTTCATTTTAAGATAACGGTTTGTTTTACTAAATTTTTTCTCATTGATTATCTATGTTGGTATTTCAATCAAAAGGTCTTGAAAATTATCCTTATTAGGTTATTTTCTTGATATTTCAATCAAAAGATAACTTGAGCAAAGTTTAAAATATTTGAAAAGCAAGGAGAAACTATAGATTATTTGTCTCCGCGAAATAAATAGCAACATTACACTTCAATCAAAATGAGTAATGGTAGCTTGTTTCACTAGAGCAATTGGACTTCTCACAGAGTGCCTATTAGAAGTCCATTTCAAGAATCCCTCAACAACACTATCGTTTGAGCTTAATAACAGATAGTATTAAATAAATAATATTAGTATTTACTGTGTACTAATTCCAGTCCTATTAATCCTAATAGGACTAGAATTAGTACACATTTGTTGTCTTGGAAAAATGTCACTTGGTATATAAGATTTCGAAAAGTAAATCTTCCGCGAGCAAATTTATGCCCTCCTTCGGATTTCTCATCGCTTATTTTTATGTTTGGACACCATGAAAATGTTGCTAATATCAACCATATTATTAACTAAAAAGATATTCAAATATCACTCACCATTGGTCATCTTACGATATTTTTCCTTGAAGGAAAATATCATAACGTTATTGAATTTGGTGGTCCGTCTTCCCTTCCTATCGTAATGTGACATCAAATAAATTACTTTATCTTAAATTTAAGATCCATATTTTTATTTATTATTTATTACCAACTAAATGTGACGCTCAAATTGGTATAGAAAAGTCTACAACTTTTTATAACGACGTGGCTATAGTGGCAAATCAGTGGCTGTTGTTATCTCTCTTAAAAAAAAAGTAATTCAATAAAAATAAAATAAAATATCACTACGTAGTAATCGAGTTATGAGACTCAGTATGAATTAACAAGTTTTATGTTGATACATAACTCTACTTCAATCTTCATCTTTTATCCGAACCTGAGACCGATAATGTAAGGAACCTCACACACATTGAGTTTTGGAAAAGAAAATCAAGTTCTAAAAATAAAAATATAATTGGAAATTGATGTTTGAAGTATTAAGGGATCTAAAAAATAAAAAGGGGAAACCCTACCAAGGTTATGGGTAGATGAATGTATTAAAATTTAATGGATATATACTTTATAACATGTTGCCAATTGGTCAATCCTATAGCGCACACTATTTAATACTCGCTCCCGTAATGTTACGTTTATTGAAGTTAATTTAGCTAACCTTTAATGTTGAATCAGATTAAATTAATTAAAACAAAGATATTCGAAAAGTACAGAAAAAGTATAAGATACAATTCTTCTTATTTTAATATGAAAAGATATATATTTTAAAATATTGATAAAAGTTTACGTAATTTAATAATCGAAGAAATATGAACTATGACAAGTAATTTGAGAAGGAAGGTGTAACTACTAGTAGGGTATATGACAAGTGTCAACATTAATGCTAAAGACCAAGTCCACTTTCCAGAAATGGGATCATATTTATATCCCCTGTGGGACACATTATTGTATTATGAAAGGAAATTTTGTTGAAATAAAAATTGGCTTAAACTATAGAAAAGTTTTATTAATCATAGTTTTGAAGTTTAGGATATTATATTTGACACAACAACTAACAGAATCATGGTAACTATAAATTAAAGAGTTGTGGTAGGATGGACACCCTTCTACAGGTTGTCGTAGCTCGCGTTTTGGAGATTTTTTTTTTGCCTACTATTTAAAAAGAGCTTTTGTTGTGCAGTTTTTGGATATTATTTATAAAATTTCTGATTTCATCACTTCAGTTATGAGGACCGCCGTTTATTTTAACAACAAAAATAGGGAGTTTCTTTACTTAAATGACTTACGACCAAATTAATCACTTTCTAAATCCTACATTAAGGACTAAATATTTTGATAATTTTAAATTGTGTTTGAGCCTTGAGTATGAAAAAGTCCTCGAGAGCCATCTCACTCGAGTTTTACGTGATGCGAATTCATGGTACAAAAATTATTTGATTTTCAAGGTTTAAAGAGTAAACATTCATTAAGCCCAATTACAATCATATACTTTCCTGGAGAAGTAAAAGATGTGACATAAAACATATACTGGAAAAAAAAAACAGCAATCCAATATGATTAATTGTGAATAATTTCTGCACTTATTTTTACATTTTAGATTGAAAGCATTTTAGTTTTATTCAGCAGACACTCTAACTGCAATTGGACTTCTTACAGAGTGCCTATTAGAATTCCACTTCAAAAATCCCTCAACATCACTGGTAGTTGAGATATTAGTTGTCTTGGTAAATATCACTTGATATGTCAACTTCTGGTTCAACGTTGAGAAATTTAGCGCGGAGGGTTCAACTTTCACGACAACTCCTTTTGGTGAAACTATCTCCACTTTGTAAGATGATTTAGCATCACCAACATTGGTTACGGTTCTGGTATATGTCTGAGGAGTTGATCCAAGTCTGATGGAAAATGAAGGATAATTTAGTTGCCCTTCAGGGATACGTTTTACCTCCGAGCAATTCACCTTGCGTTGTAACACTTTACCTACCTCCCGATTTGTGTAGTTCAAACCACATAAATAAGGAATGTAGTCCTCGAATGGTGTATCATAAACTAGTCCTGGATCACTTGCTCTCGATGGATTAACATGTCCTGCACCCATTGCAAAGAGATCAGCAGAAATGAGCCTTTCGTCCAGTATTGGACTGTTGGCGAGGTTTACTGTGTCAGCTGTTGTCATCATTGCTGACTTAATAGCTGCAGGAGACCAATCAGGATGTGCGCTCTTCAGCAGAGCTGCAACACCACTAAGGTGAGGGCAAGACATTGAGGTTCCGGATACTATATTGAATGTTGATTTTGTGTTTTTGTTGTTATCCACGGAGGTAGGCCAAGCAGCAAGGACGTTAACACCAGGACCGATTATGTCAGGTTTTAAGATGCCAGGACTTGCTACGCTTGGTCCTCGTGAGGAAAATGAAGCAACTATAGGAGCATTTTTGTCTCCAATTACAGTTCCATGGAAGGTGATTGAAGCAACCGGATTTGAAGATGAGTTCATATAGGCAAGAATTTTCTTTCCATCAGCATTTGAAACATCCAATGCAGGAAGGACATGAGCTTCAGCTGATTTAGTCACACCCTCTTCTTGTTCATTGATGAGAATCATGCCAACACCTCCAGCATCCTTTACGGATTGTCCTTGAGCAACTCTGAGAAGACTTATACTTCGCAAACACAAGACTATCTTACCTTTGATAGCAGGGTCATTAAGTGAGCCTGGACTACAAAAAGGCGCGCTAAATTGATCACTTTCATTCTTTCCAGCATCATATAGAGGGAAGAATGTTGAGTTGGAAGTCTTTGGATGATAAGCAGATTCTCCTTCAAATTCCTCGCTATTTCCAAGCTTAACAGTAACCTTCAGTTTTCTATCATGAGTACTGGCACCAACAGTGAGAATCCACGGGGCTTCATTAGCTACAGTGCCAAGCGACGGACCGCTATTGCCTGCTGAGGCACTTACAAAAATACCTCTTTCTGTTGCACTGTACGTCCCGAGAGCAATACCATCATCATGGAAAGGTTTTGTACTTCCACCAAGGGAGATTGAAAGAATATCTACACCATCATCTATAGCTGCATCCATGGCAGCTAAAATATCGCTGTCAGAACAACCGCCATCAGAACTACATACCTTATATACCGCTATGTGGGCTAGAGGGGCAACACCAACAGCAGTACCATTAGCATTCCCAAATATATTAGCACCTTTCACAAAGGCTCCAGCAGCTGTGCCTGCTGTATGTGTACCATGTCCATTATCATCTATCGGGGAACCATTGCCAAGTTGATAAGACCTGGCTCCAATGAGCTTGTTGTTACACTTTGTGGTGAAATTGGACTCACAAACTCCTTTCCACTTAGCAGGCGGGGGAGGCATCCCAACATCACTAAATGAAGGATGATCAGGAAGAATTCCAGTGTCTAGAACTCCGATGATCACACCTACTCCAAAATTGGAATCTTTCCACAAGCCCATGTTCTGTTGCAAACCAAGAAAACTTGGAGTATGAGTAGTATGCAAGGAGAAAATCCTCTGTTTCTGAGCAGAGACAAAGCCGTGTTTTTTCTCCATTTCCTTCACTTGTGCTGCAGTTAATCTTGCTGCAAAACCTTTCATCACATTGTGGTAGGAGTAGATCATGCTAGCAGCCTCTTCATCTCCACTCGAGCTAATTGCGGTAGTAGTTTTAGGCAAAAAAGAAAGGTAATAGCTCT